AAAAGACCTGAGAAGAGATATTTTCGAATTAGTCATGTCCTTATGCTAATAAGTAACTTGCAAAAAAGATTTTTCTTCAACTCGTCTGCAAAAAATCTCCAGCCAAATCTATTTCGACTTCATATGCAGTAGGGAACCAAAATATTTCAGGTTTTTGAACCCTAAAATCTTTCTATCTCACTGAAAACTTGTTCATTGTTTCTGAACATTTTTCCACAAAGGTACTTCAACGTGCTCTACAATCTGGTAGTGACAAAACAGATTCAGCTGGAAGTTCATAGTGGATCCTCCGACACCCGGAGTCCAGAATCTACTCCAGAAAGGCCCAGCAGCAGGAACGGATATAAAATTCGTGATCACCATTAAAGATTACCCACGATGGTGTATGTTTTAAGGAAAAAGTGACACTCTGGAAGGTTCCCTCGTGAAACTATAATTCTTTTCGCGCCATTCTTTAATTTTCTGATTTGGTCGTCAGTCCCAGCCAAAAGATATCTATATTTTGTGAGAATTAACTACTTTTTCTCATAGAAAATATCATATCACTCTAAAGCATTAATCTTAAAACTTTGTTACTACAGATTTATACCATTGAAAAATGTCGGTCATGTTAGAGAGTGCTTCAACGAGGAAAAAGCACAATGGACTGGAATGGGCCATTCCAAACCATTTTTCCATTCTCCATTTTTGACAGACTTATATACTATCCACTGTGTATTTTGAGAAACGATGTGTTTGTGCCAAGAGGGAAAAAGCGTTTTTGGAATGGTATGGAATGGACCATTCTAAAAACGCTTTTTTCTCCCTAGGAGTGCTTACTACAGTCATGTAATTTTATTACAATCATTAGATATTTCCCTTAGAAAATAAGTACCTAACTGAGCATATTTTCTACGTTGTTTATTTCTACCTTCATCTTCGCCATCAATTAGAATTATTTCCGATCTTGAATAATATTGTGAAACGAATGATAATAGTGAATTTCGTCGAAGAATCGAACCAAATATGACAAGTGAATATTCTTTATATTTAATATTTTTCTTAACTATTGATTCATTCAATTTTTCTATATCTCTCTTGTATAGGTTTTGATATTTTGATAATGTCAATGCATAAGAATAACCCATTCCATATAATGGTATTTTATAAAAATTTTTTGTTTCTTTTTTTGTCCATTGTTTATAATCAGGATATTCATACATAAATTGTGGTGGTTCATAAACATGTAAATTTTGTTTAAATATTAACGTAAATCCATGTAACATTAAATCTTTCTGATAATCTGCTTCATTATGACTAATAAATAGTATTGGTAATGAAAAATTTTTAAAATTAATTATGTTTAACATATATTCAACTAATTTTGTTGTAGTTAATCTATGTTTAGCATAATAAAGTAAACGATGAAGTAATAGATAATAATGACTAGAATTAAATTGTGAATGATCAATCGTCAATGTTTTTCGATTAATACCTTTCATTTCACGAGCTTCTAGTAATAGTTTTTTTGGTAAATGTTTCATTGTAAATTCATCAGAATTTTCTAAAGAATCAAAGAAGGGAATGGTGCCTGATGATATAATTTCATAATGACGATTGCAATCCCAACCAGCTTTTTTCATTGTTACTGCAAAATAAGCTGATCTATATAATCTTCTATAATCTAATTCATTACCAAAATCAAATACATATGTATGCCGTTTTCCTGGTATCAATGAACTAAAATCAATTAATTTAATAGGTAAACATGTTTCATTAAATGATGAATAACCGGGTATTATTCTTCGAATAGTTGAATATAAATGATCTTCAATAAAACCAAATGAAATTGGATAAAATTCAATATCATCATCACATATTTTTGGTTTTGGATAATCATTAATAAATGAATTGATTATTTTATCTTGTCCAAGATCAATGATCATATGTTGTTTTTGTTCAACAGTAAGAATAGAATTATTACTGTTATAAAATGCTAAACATTTAATAAAACAATTTGGTTCAACACAAGGTGTTAAAACTGAATAATAATTTTTATCTGATAATAAATGTAAATGTCCTTGATTATCTAATTTATCAGAAGATATTTTATATTTTATATATAAAATAATTTGTATTAATATTAATCCAAATAGTACACCAGCTGTACGACGATCAACATTCAAAAACCATTTCATTTATACTTATTCTACAATAATATATATATTTTATGTTTTATACTATATGTGTTAATTGTTACTCTAAAATAAGAAGTACGACAATAAACGGAATGTTTTCTTTATGTTAGTTCATCTATAGAGAGAGAGCTCTTCACTATTACTAGAAAAATGCATTTGACGAGCAATTTGTAGTAAAATAAATTGATTAATCGAATAAAATGAAGAAAAGGTAAAACGTTTTCTCTATAAGTTCATTTTAGTAAAATCGTACTTTTACTTTTTTTTCTTCATTCTATTTTTGTATGTTGGTGACGTTAAAAATAGTAAAGTAAAATGTAGTAAGGAAGAAAGTAGAACTATAACAAATAAGGAAATATCTCTTCTCACACATGCACTATATTCGACGATATATGCGGCAAATGTCTCCTTCTTTTCTGTTCTCTTGATTACTATCACACCCGTCTCACTCTGATTCATCAACATCATCGTCAACGTTGAAAGCGCCGTCTTGTTCAGAAATTGGGAGCTTGTGCATAAGAAATCGACTAGGATAGCTATCGATCACCGAATACGTCACCCAAGATCGTGGATGCTGGTGAAATATTCAATGAATTTTTTTCTACTTTGTTTTCCTTGTCCAGTTCTACAGCGAATAGTATTGCTTCTCATTCTTTTTCTCCTTATCTGTGTACTCATTATAATTAAATCTGACGTTCATCGAATGACATCGAGGCGAGTTCTTTCGCTGAAAAACAAAGCAAATGGGTCTTGTTTAACTATGACGTATTTCTTCTTCCATTTGTTGCTAGACAAAAGTATTTTTTCTATGTCGAAAATTTGTTGTAGAATTGACAAACAAGAAAAAGTGCGTTTTTTGACAACTACCGTCAAGCATACAGAAATATTTTGAATACATGGTAAAAGAGAAACAGTTCTAAGTATAAAACAAATTTGCTCTAATGTTGACTAGATATGCTCAACATAGACTTACGGTAGTGGATCAACGATTAAGGTAGTGGTTTATAATTGGAGAGAGATGATCTAGTCTACTGGTACGAAAGTTAAGATTACTACAGCTGAATTGCTTGATAAATGCATAATAAGTATCGTCTCTTTTGAAATAGAAAATAACTGCAGCATAACATTTCATGTTATTCTTACAGTTTGCATTGTCTATAGAAACACAGTAACTAGTTTTTCCACCTGTACGTTGGTATGTAAGTGAATGAAAATGCTCTAGTCCTCCTCGAAAACGATAGAAGATATCATTTCTAGACAGTTGAACATTAAAATGATGTTGAAAAATGGGAGTGAACTTGGATAATTCATTTCTGTCTATAAAATTTGAATCAAATAATTCTTCAAGTGTAAATATTTCATCCAATGTCAAAATTTTTCACTTTTGATTACAGTTCTTTGAGTTAGATATTTCATTCTCCTCGAAAAATACGGTCAGTCCGTTTGCAAGAGTTATGCCCCGAACGGGGAATATTTCCCGTTCAAGAAAGATGTATTTCCCGATTGTGAAATATGTCCTGATCGAGAA